ATTTGCATATGTAAGGTTTTTCACCGGTGTGTCGCCTGACATGGGTTAACGCGTGCTGTCTTCGCATGGTTTTGTATTGACACACACCACAGAAATAGGTCTTCACTGCTCCGTCCCATGACTCCCCACAATAGAGATACCCCACATATTTCTCAAAGGGGATCCTCACACTCTAATGGAATGAAAACAATATAAACAATATCATTAAGGGAGCATAACTGGTTGCAAAATAAACTTATTACAGCTCAAAAAGTAAATGGCTCAAAGGGAACAGCTTCAAATGCCACATACATATGGCAAAAAAATAGACTAATTATTTTAAACAATATATCTCTAAGAACTGAAATATACAAGTTAAAAGTCCCTCGTCTTTTTTTTCTTAAAAACATTTTTTTTTAAAGAAGCACATTTTTAAATACTTGCTATGAAAGTACAACAAAAATATAATTCCTCTCAGAGATAATCAGTGTAACGATTTACTTTGGCTGCATAAACACTTGTTACATTTTTCTCCAAGTACCACGCATATACCAATGCTAATAAAAACATGAAAATAGTATTTATTCGAAAAATAGTGTGGATCTGGACAGTTCAAATAACACCTCCCAGCACATATATAAACTTTAAAGTTGCTTTTACTTGGGAGTCAACCACATTGTATACCTCAGGATTGATGCCTTCAGGGGTTGTGGGGATTGAGGTCGGGACACTGTTTTTCAGCTGCACAAGACAATGCTCCTCCTCGTCCTCCCATTCCTGTCCCTCCTGACAATATATAGAAAAATCCATTAAAAACCCAAAAAAAGGAACTAGTGCCCATTTCTCACTTAATACCAAAATATTAAACAAATCTCCATAAAATGTACATATTTAAAGAAGCACCTTTTATCATAGGTAGAGGCTACTTCCTTTTATTCTATTCATGTTCTGGTCTTGGCACCATACTGGAGAAATTTAAAGCACAACCCCCTCCGCTGATGCTTATGCTGATAAGGCACAGCGATTGAGGAAAATGATCACTGGAAAATGCAAAATGTATGCTATCATTGCATCCCAATCAAGCCAAGCAGATCTACAAATGAAAATTCCCTTGCTTTGAACTGTTCATGCCAAAAAAATGTCAAAGCCACATGCCTCAAGTGCTCCAAGTGGATCATCAGGATGTTCCATGCCTGATTCCTCTTCAGCAAGTGCAGTCAGAGCAGCAGTGGCAGCAGCAGTGGCTGAAGATTCGCTTTTTACTTTGGCTGAGCTGACAGAATTTTCCTGTAGGGAAGACCAAGATCATTGTCATTTGCTCATTGGAGAAGCCTCAGAAGGCTCCAAACTTTACTAAAATTCATGTAATATGCTAGAGAAATACATTTTTGAGTGAAACATTTTTTTCTTAACAAAATGTCATTAACAGATATAAATATCTTCACCTTCGGGTAAAACTTTATAGCAGTCAACATTAATAAAAGCTCAAGCACAGCAGGCAAATGAATTGAATCTAAGTTTGTAAACATGAAGAAATGATCCATTGGGACAAGATTTGCTTCATAATTGATGACAGACCTCTGCTGATGCCTGTTGGGAGGTAGAGGCAACACCGATTTCACACATCCTGGGAACCTTGAGGGCACCAGGAGCATTCAGACTGTTGGCATTGCGCTTCAGCGCCGGACGATTCCACGCGATCCTGGACGGAGAGCAGTCCTTCTTGAGCCCCTCTAGCTCCAGTGCCTCTGCCAAGCTCACAAACTGTTCAAGGTCTCCTCCTGGGACTTCGATCTCGCCCACGTATATAAATTCGATGAGGAACTTCAAGNAACCACATTGTATACCTCAGGATTGATGCCTTCAGGGGTTGTGGGGATTGAGGTCGGGACACTGTTTTTCAGCTGCACAAGACAATGCTCCTCCTCGTCCTCCCATTCCTGTCCCTCCTGACAATATATAGAAAAATCCATTAAAAACCCAAAAAAAGGAACTAGTGCCCATTTCTCACTTAATACCAAAATATTAAACAAATCTCCATAAAATGTACATATTTAAAGAAGCACCTTTCATCATAGGTAGAGGCTACTTCCTTTTATTCTATTCATGTTCTGGTCTTGGCACCATACTGGAGAAATTTAAAGCACAACCCCCTCCGCTGATGCTTATGCTGATAAGGCACAGCGTTTGAGGAAAATGATCACTGGAAAATGCAAAATGTATGCTATCATTGCATCCCAATCAAGCCAAGCAGATCTACAAATGAAAATTCCCTTGCTTTGAACTGTTCATGCCAAAAAAATGTCAAAGCCACATGCCTCAAGTGCTCCAAGTGGATCATCAGGATGTTCCATGCCTGATTCCTCTTCAGCAAGTGCAGTCAGAGCAGCAGTGGCAGCAGCAGTGGCTGAAGATTCGCTTTTTACTTTGGCTGAGCTGACAGAATTTTCCTGCAGGGAAGACCAAGATCATTGTCATTTGCTCATTGGAGAAGCCTCAGAAGGCTCCAAACTTTACTAAAATTCATGTAATTTAATTTCTAAAATTCATGCTAGAGAAATACATTTTTGAATGAAACATTTTTTTCTTAACAAAATGTCATTAACAGATATAAATATCTTTGCTTTCAGGTAAAACTTTTAAAATAGCAGTCAACATTCATAAGAGCTCAAGCACAGCAGGTAAATGAATTGAATCTAAGTTTGTAAACATGAAGAAATGTTCTATTGGGACAAAATTTCCTTCATAATTGACCACAGACCTCTGCTGATGCCTGTTGGGAGGTGGAGGCAACACCGATTTCACACATCCTGGGAACCTTGAGGGCACCAGGAGCATTCAGACTGTTGGCATTGCGCTTCAGCGCCGGACGATTCCACGCGATCCCGGACGGAGAGCAGTCCTTCTTGAGCCCCTCTAGCTCCAGTGCCTCTGCCAAGCTCACAAACTGTTCAAGGTCTCCTCCTGGGACTTCGATCTCGCCCACGTATATAAATTCGATGAGGAACTTCAAGAGGTGCGCACTGACTCCAAAGAAGTGAATCACAGTGTTGTCACGACAGTGCTGAAGAATCCGTTTGAAGTATCGCGACCCAGAGGACAAGATCAGTCTGTGGGCCTTGAACACCTCACTCTCACAGGACAAAGTCACATCGACCAGATGTTCTTGGTTTCGAAAGGTGTTGAAGCTGGAGAAAGTATCCACATGGTGGGAATTCCACTTCAAGTTGTACTTGTCTGACATGGTGCAAAGATGCTTTGGAAAGTCAACTATCTCATGAAAGACCAGATAAATAGTGAGGTTTGATCGAGACAGTTGGCATAGTTTCCTGCAAAAAAAATCGCTCTTTGATTATATCCAAATGGATATACATTACATACAAGAATATAATCCCCTTTTTGTGTTATTTGTCCCATAATCATGTGCAAGCCCAGGTTAACAATAGATTTAGAGTCCAAAAGTCCTGCATACTATCCCTTGTATCATGAACAATTTTTCAGTAGATACTGGACCGTGGCAAGCTACTTGAAACACCTCCACTTAAAATGCAACTATACATGTATTATCAGTAGTCACAGTAGTAACTTCATTTTTAACAGTGGTCACTATATTTAAAAATATGAAATTCTATATAATCACTTGGATGCAAAATTATGGAGCACCCTGAATTTGTAGGTCATAATGCAAACATGAGATTTCTGTGACCCATATGAAGAGAAATGGGAAAAATCAAATGAAAACTAGTATGACTCACAACTGAATTGCAGTTTTTCTATGAGTTAATGAAAAAGGACCAATTTTGTTTTAAATGTCTTCCACTCATGCTCTATTAGTATTAAAAGCCTTGCAATACTGAAATGCTGAATTGCAATAGAACTAATTAAAAAATTTGTTTAATGTATGAGCAATTCCTATAATGTGTGAGAATTTTAATCTGGAAGGAACTTATAATGGAATCTGGAATCATCAAAAATTATATTTGATGATGAGGCAGCATGAGAACCTGGAATCAGTCCGTAAACTCTCCATGCAGGAAGTTTACATAACTTTCGATCCAGCAGATGCCATAGACCATATGAGAACCACAACTAATATCAAGCTAATGCATCGCATTCAGATCATTCTGATAAAACACCAAGAACTCATTAAATGCATTAAAATTAAAATTGAGCACAAGAATAGCTGGCACGCAACATCTTGCATTTTGAAACAAGAGGGGGTCAGCCGTACCGATTAAGTACGGCTTGGCAATGTGCAGTCAGGACTGAAGTGACAGCAAGAAGCTGCCATTGGTGTGAAGACACCAGTCAGCCACATAAAAAGTGCTTGTTTCAGAATAAAGACCAATCAGAATAATGTAATTTCTCTCAATAGGTTCTACATACTTTCCAAAATTAAAATGAAGGAAAAATGATAACTCCTCCAGATTGTGACCGTTGCAATTCTGAAATGGTTAACAATATTATATATTGAATCGGATCAAGGGAAGGCAGGAGAATAGATGCTCTCAATAAAAGTATATTTTTTCCCAGTCAAGGATAAAAGAACCTGTCTTTACCTCTTATTTCTCACTTAGAAGATATGACAATCTGGCCAACAAACTCTATTATAGTCGGGAGTTCAAACAGCAACAGGAGACAAAGATGCAAGTTTTTCAATAGAAAATTTCCTCATGATGGAAGTCCATAGCAATTTAAGTCAAGAAGGGTCCAGCCAAAAAGTCAATCCGGTTAATCCAATGAGTAAAAACGTACGTCTAAGAACATGTCGTCATGAGGAATAAATGACCACTTACCATGGGATTGCATCACATAGATTCTGAATATGGTATGGCAAGAGATCACACCAATGGCAAGAAAAAAAAGATTGATATGCGCTTGTGGACAATGCAATCAAATGTTCCATGTTCCAAAAACATGACTCCTTTCTCAAAATAAATGAAAGAATTATATCCACTTCATTCCCTTCACTCCCTTTCTTTAGACTTTCTAATACCATCACATTGGTGGCTTGAGTAACCTTTCAGCTTAGCAGTTAAATTTCATCATCAATATCAACAAGTGATTCATGCATACAACACAAGGAGGGAGAACTAAGAGGTAGATAACATTATTTTCATGGGACTGAAAAGTGACTGACCAAAAGAGTTACTTTTAGTCCATCTTACTTCCTTTTTCTTCAATTTCAGTATTAATTCATAGTTTAGTTCATTCTCTAATTTCACACTACTAGTTAATTTTTTGTTGGATTTCATTCATGAAGGCAGAAAATACTTGAGTTCTGGACTAGACTGTGTGATGCAGTAAAGCAACAAGAAAAACAGGGACACCATGGAAAAAAATTGTGGATTCCAAAATAATAGGGATTGAACAGACCCCACAGAATATCTTCAGGTTGCTAAATTAAGAGGGTGATCTGATCCGCAATGCATGTGAGCTTCTCTGAACATCAAGTTCAAAATTCACACCTTTCCATGAATAAGGATCAAACTCAAAATAATAATCACAGCACAATACTTCTGAGACTGCAAAGGAGACACAACTGTCTCACAGATCACACAGCAGACCCCAGAGTCTTCAGCAGGGCCTGCACTTCCTTCTCCCGCATGGCCTTCGCATCGGCAGGTGCCTCTTCGAAGTAGGGGAGACTTTTCACAAAGGACACAAACAGTCCCAACTCCTTGCATGGGATCTTGGAAGCTAACCAGGAGCGAGGTAGCATGTTGACAATGGTTGCAACCTTCTCCTTGGCATCATTGTATGATAGGGAGTTCGTGAGAGAGGTCACAAGATACCTATTGAGGAGGGAATTGAGGGTCAGGTCCTGTAAAACAGAGTCCTTGAGCAATCCCTGCCAGTTCAATGCATTATGCAGCAGTTTCAATCCGGTCCAGAACTGACGCTGGTAGAAACTTGCTGCCGAGGGGTCACGTAGTAGCACCTGCTTTGAAAACAGAGGTATGAAGAGGTCACTATTCAGACAGTCCCGCAATTTGCAGAGAACGGTCTTCAACAAGCTGCGCAAACCAGCCGATTGTCCATTGACGACCGTACCAAAATCATCTATCCAACGGTTGATCAACCGGACTAGACGCAGCGTCTGACTCCGCGAAAGCGGGTCCCAGCTGCATTCCACCAGGGCTGTGAGCTTGGGAAGGAGAACGCGATCCACCACTGATGGGATGAGCTTCAGGTCTGAGTCCTTCCTCAGATCTGAGCCCATGAAGAAGGAGACCAGGCAGGCAAACCAATGCATGCCAGTGAAGTCCATTGCATTTTCTTCCATCAAAGGATTCCAAAAGAGAACCTCCAGACGCACGATCGGTGAAAATATCTTCGGCAGGCAGAGACTGACAAACGCTTCCTGATACGAATCAGATTCCTGACATTTCCATTGCTCCAAATGCTGCTTGACTTGCTCCAACTGAGAAAAGTCGTCGAGGACATCGGCGAACACTTTCTCGGCATCCTTCTTGATTTTCTCTTTCTCGCTCAGAAAGACAGAAATCTTGGTTTCAGACTCCTCATCATCTGAACTAAGGCCTTCTTTATGGCTTGGGATGAGAGAGGAAGCTTCTCTCTTCTTCTTGCGTCGCATCCGTCGGCCTTCCCGTTCTGCCGTCCGTCTCGACCTCTCTGTATCCAGCGAAGCAACCTTCTTGATGGCTAGATTCACTTCTTCGTTCTGGTCTTGGACGTCTTGTCTCCGACGAACCATCAGCTCTTCTGCCCTCTGGCGCAACAGGCCATGCATTCTATCCTCCAAAGCAATGATTACGTCCATCTTTGCATTGTAGCAATCGATGAGATCTGAAATATAGGCACGAGTCTCTTGATGGAATTCATAGCTGTGCGCTGCTTTAGGCATTTCGTCCTCACACTCCTTAATGTCGACTTCACACGAGGAAAGGTCATCAACTATGCGGTCTCGGTCGGCCACGTGTCGTCGACAGATGGAGGTCAATTCCAGCAACCTATCCGACAGTTTCTCACGAATTGTCTTCAAGGACAGAATTTCGCCAGGAGCAAAAGTTGGAATGGAACTGTCATAAGGAGGAGATGAAGCCAAATTCATGTCCCGGGGCTCCTTAGTCTCCTCAGATTTCAGCTGTGAGAACGTGATCTGGTTCCCCCGTTCAGTGAAACCTTTTTTGATTTGCTGTGCCTCCCATAGCTCCAGTTCTCCCTCACTCTCACTTCCTTCCTTGTTCAGAGACTCTTTGAATTGACTCCGTTCCTTCTTCGTGTCGACTGTGAAGCTCATTCGATCCTTTTCTCTGTCCTCTTCCAGGTCACTCAGGTCGTTGTCGTCATCGCGAACGAGGCGGGATTTGTCGTCTCGAACCCTCTGAGTGTCGTCTAAGGGAATGAAGTCTTCACCCAGTTCTCGCGCTCTCTGACGTCGCTTCCGGGCCTCGTGGATCATGGCTGCATTCGGAATGATACCGCTTCCAAGAAGTTGCTTAAAAGGGTCAGAGAATGGTAGTGGCTTTTCATCTTCGTCTGAAAACAGGTCTTCCTCGGCCATGGCAATCGCTTCGGCGTCCTTCCCACTCAGGATGGGACTACTTTCCCGCTTAATGGTCTGCTTCACGACCAAGTACGGCACCTCGGTTTCCGTCTGAAAATTATCCTCCTGCTTCTTTTCAGTCAGAGGATCAGGGGTCTTCCCAACTTTCTTCTTCTTGCGCTCCCTCAACAGCTTGCGGCTCTGGCTGGACTTCTTCACCTTGAAGACCTCTCCATCATCTCCTTCCATTTCATCGCCAAAGGACAACAGAGCAGGGGGCTTCTTTTCCCTTTCCTTCTCCTTGTCTTTCTCCTTCTTCTTCTTCTCTTTTTTAATCTCTGCCTTCTCCCTCTCCTGGTTCAAAGATGTCGGCACATGATGTACATTTTCTTCTGTCCCACCAATCTCCTTATGATCATCATCCTCTTGCTCCAACAGCCTCGTCCTCTGAGCGAATTTCCTCGTTGGCTTCTTGAAAGAAGCCATCTTCCTGTGGCTCTCACGCTCTACCTCAATATATAAACCTGATGCAGATAACCAAGCACAGCAAAAAAAGAAAAGTTATATTGAGAATTAAAAGGTGTTCCATACAATAACATCAGAGCTTTCACCACTCAGAAAACATCATGACATATGTCCTAAAAAATTGTTCATAAAGTTAAATGCTACTGCAATCATTCAATAAATTACTTCAAAACAGTGTGAACAAGCCTTAACTTCAAGATTATACCACATGAAATGATCTAGTAAGCTAACACAAGATTACTTCCTGTTCTAAACCTGCATGAAAGAAAACCAGAACTACGCAGAATCTATAGCTTCACCATACTAGCATCACCTCAAGATGCAGAAATCCACAAAGTGAAACCTCCATGAAGCGTTTAAAAGAAAAATGATCATGGAAATGCAATTTTAGCTTATTCATTATTTTTAATAAGTGAACAAGGCCTTGAAGAATAAAACCAATCACTGAGAGAAATCTCAACCATGCCAAGAAGACATGGGTGGTTCAAAGAGCAGTACTAAACTGGAAGGTGCTCAAAGCCTCATGAATCTACGATAAGTCCCAGAAGAAATGAAGAACACCATCTTATCCAACTCAGAATGAATTGGCACTTTATTACAGATCATCCCAGCAGTTTAAAAACTCCTATAGAAAATAATGGCATGGCCCCTACAATACAGGTTGAAACATTTTTGAAATACATCAGCTCTGAAAGACGATTGATGCAAAATGTCGTCAACTGCAGTGTGGAAAATTTGAGGGTGAGGCATAAATGAAGCAACAGAGCAATTCTATTGTGTTACTCCCTGAAATTTCTGCAGGTGCTGGGTTGTAGACTAAAAAAATGCATTATATTGCATACATACATCAGTGACTGAAATATAGGTCATAGTGACATCTCAAAGCTTTTGAGCTGTCACAGGATTCATACATACAAAATTAATGCAACGGTTCACAATTTCTTTTTTGTCCTTGAATATATCCAAAACAATGAGAAAACTCAGCATGCATTATCGGCACAAGCGCCATCTCTGCAATCAGAATGTCTGATTTCTTAAAGAGGATCCTGAGAAAAAAATATGGTGGCAGCATAATACATAAACGCATCAATTCATGGCATCATCTAAGATTATGACACACTGGCAGTCTGAGAAGGGAAGCGCCAGAATTGATACTTGCGGGTACAGCTGGAGTGTGTTCAGGCAAAAGTGAGAGACAGAAAATAAGAAATCTCACATACAAAATGAGAAATTAAAATCCTGCCTGAGAAGTCAGCAGCCTCACAGCTGCCCATGGTGAGACACTGAGGCACCAGCTGCCACGGTGCCCTCGCCTGCCGTATCAGTTGCTCTCACAACCTCTGAATCGACTTCATGTTGTCATTTCTGCTTTGTGCCAAATGAGAGAGACTCTGGTCCCATATAAAAGAGAATAAGACCCATACTGAAATTAATGAATTAATTAACACCATGGGTGAAAACCAAGGGAAATAGGCACAAAAAACTCAAACCCATCAAGAGCGAATGGTTCGTCTCGATGCATCGACACTTCCTCGCCTGCCGTAGTGACCACCCCCCAAGAAATTCAAAGGTGTACAACTGGGTACATGTGAATAAAACACTACCACATATAAGCAACCCTAAGCCACTGGGGAGGGAGTGAAGCCACTGGGTAAGCGTCATGTGTGCCGCAGCTGATGGTTGAGGAGCTTGTCTTGCCGGGCAAAGCTCTTTCCGCACTCGCACGTGAAGGGCTTGTCCGGGCGGTGACTGAGGGCATGGCGCATCACATGGTGCTTCTGGCACGATTTGTACGAACACAGGGAGCAGAAGTGCACCCTTTTGTTGTCCCAAGTCTGGCCGTAGTACGCAATCTCGTCGTGGGCACCCACAGTCTACAAAAAGGTTAGGGAAGAAATGCATTTCTCAATGCCTCTCATGGGACATTAATATTGAGATGCATCATATATATGCTCATATGTGAGATACATATTCCATAGTATTCAAATCACAAATGCCCCTTGATCTGAGCTTCAACTTGAGGGTGAATCTTAGTTCAAGCATAGGTGAGGCTCATTATCGTGTACACCATTTGAGGTTAAAGACAATTGTTATGAGGGATGGAAGGGATATGAATTACAAAAAAATGCAAATACAAGGGATGATATGAAATAAGATAAAATCAAATTAAATATCAATCCATTAAATTATTTATATATGTGGTAGTATATACATAGCAAAAGGAATGCAGTAGCATAGTTGGGATACTTTCTTTAATGGACTGGAACAATGAAGTTAATATATACTAATTTTTTAACTAAACTTGATGTAACAAATTTTAAAATTATACTCATTCAGTTATCATGTTCATTTCATATGATAACAAACTATTTCAAAATGACTCCACACAAAATCATTCTTGTTTTCAAAAATTTGGCTACTTTACATTGCCAGTAGATGTACAAGAAGTTGGGCACTCAGAGCTCAACACTAAAATTAGTATCAATGCAGTCAGTGAATTTCATATTTAACATCATACTCTTGCCGATAGAACATACCAAGATACTTTCAAATTCTGTCAGATTACTGAGGCTTTTCTCAAGTACTGCTATTCAGGTGCTGAAGGGGATCAAATTCAATTGGACTATCATGCAGAAACATCATTAGGTAGAGTTCATGAAAAATTCCATTCAAAGAAAACTGCAGCTAAAAAATATATTGATAGACTCACAGCTGGGTTAATCTCAAGAGGTGTGTTTTGTGGTAACTCGTGCTCCCCGGTCAAAGCACCGCAGGACTCTGATTGGCAGGACCCATGCGATTGGCTGTCCCAATCTCCATCTGCCTATATTTCCAAAGAAAAACAGATCAATCTTGATCCCTATTCTTGCAGACACATGACGAAAGGAAGGGGAGACTCTACCTGAGCACGGTGTCCATCTACAACGGCAGCAAGTTTGATTGGATTGGATGATGAATCTGAGTCATTAGTGTGGGGGCCTTGAGACTGCATCATCACAGGAATCTTTGAGAGATACACATCGAAGAGTTATGCAAAAGAATATGAAATACAGTAAGAGTATAAGATCATTGCCAGTCCTAATATGACTGAAAATCTGGCATCTTTCACAACTCTGATGAGTACAAGAGGGAATCTCAACATACATTTAAAGTTCTATCGAATAAATTGAAATATTGCTTTAGGTCAGCTCTGCTGAAAACATGAAAAATCAAAAGATTTGAAACAATTACAGTAAAATATCAAATTCATGTAAGCAGATGATTTTCTAAAGGTCTCAATTGATATGTGAAACAATTTTAAAACAAATCAAAGACCATGACAACTTTGAAACTAAAATATGTTAAGTATCAAATTGTCAATGCTATAATTATATTTTACGATATAGCTTCACTTAGGACAGACCAACACTGGCTCACCAAGAAAGACATTCATTTTGAGCAAAATACATCAAAAACTAAAACAGAATCTGAAGTGGTATGTGTCAAGAACTGACACTGGAACAAGATGCAAAAATAAATCTATTTTCTAAGCTGAAACTGAACTGACATTCATCACTTCAACCATGAAGAAAAACCACTCGAATCTTTACCGGAGGAGGGATCTCAGAGGTTGAGTCATGACTAGGACTCTTCCGCTTTTTATGGGCTTGGTCTTTTGCCGCCGGTCCCTTGCGCTTCACACTGACCTTCTGAGAGCCAGGCACGAGTTCAGCATAGGTAGAAACATTACTACCTTCACCACTGATACCCTTTACTTCCAGGGCCTCGGCAAGCCGGATGAATCTCTCCAGGTCACCCGATGGCACATCCACTTCACCCGTGTACATGAAGTCGATCAATGACTTCAAAAGGTGCATCTCCACCCCAAAGAAATACATTACGGGAGAGGGATTTGTGTCGCGGCAGAACATCTGCTCGAAGTAGCCGGATCCGGCCGAGAGGACCAGCTTGTGAGCCCTGAAGGCTTGACGCTCACAAGTGAGGGTCACATCCATCAGATGTTCCCGGCTCCGTAGCTGGGAGAAGCCGGTGAACATCTCTGCATGGTGAGAGTTCCATCGTAGGTTGTAATTGTCTGGCATCGTTGTTCCTTTTCCTTGTCTTTTTGGATCTGCTGAAGGAGTATAAGGTCGATTCATAGAGGAGTGACAAGCAGGAGTATTACCTACCCCATAAGGATATCTAGAAGAACATCTGACAAAGTATGTAAAAGACTTATCAAGACATATCGTATGATACATAAGAAACTACGGCACAGTGAACCGGTAAAATGTTAGATAAATGCCACATTTCATTATGTATATATCCATGTTCACTTCCTGTTTTACCTTCACCACATGCTGTACCAAAAAAAGGATAAGCTTTTGCTTACCCTTTCAAGATGCACCTGAACTGATTATATACCTTAGAAAGCTCACCCTGGCTTCATGAACATATAAAACCAATATTTAAATAATGGAAATGGGTGAACTTAGAAATGGTATACTTCATGATAACCACCTCATGACATCAACACAGAACTCAATTTGCTTTGCAAATAAGAAACTATGATTTATTGATATTTTTAATCAGACTAAGACTAGAATAAACAGAGTCCCATACCAATTAAGATAAAGCAATTATATAGTAATCTCATATTACTTTAGATTCGGTCCACTTTGGCAGTGGTCCACTACGGTACTCAATCCCAAAACCCATCCAATGTATGACCTTTCTTGTACTTTAACATTGAGAGAGAAAATGAATACCTATACTCATTCAATAGCAAGTGTGACGACTCCAAGTCGCTGGTTTTCATACAAGTGTAAGTGCTGAACCTCAAAGCCACATTTCATGCATATCCCATGAGGTGGTGTAATGATCCACCTTAGCTCATAAAAATTAACAATTCTAAGTCACTCATTAATTCTAAGTAATTCAGGCATCTTCAGTGTGAATACTAGGCCTACCAATGTAGTTTTCATTCAGTCAAGTCATACTTGCACCCAAGAGCATTCATAGCAAATGATGCTAAGGAACATATCCTAGTAGTAATCAATATATCATTAAATATGGAACAACAACAGAAGATTATTCAGCTAGAATGTAACATCCGCCCATTCAATCAAGAAGCATATAATTATTGTAACTGAGGCATTACAATGAAGGAACCAGTTCATAGGCCTGCAATGGGCTGCTTTAATGTTGAATCTAGGAAGAGAATTCTAAATAAGCATTCTAAATACAAGTCTTTTAACTAGTTCTACTTGACATTCAGAAAGAGATCAAAATGTTGACCTTGGGTGAAATTCAAAATGGAGTCTAACCTGAAGCTGTTGAAGTGCCTTAATAATCAAGGAAAGACTCAGAATGGATTTCCAAAAAATTATGATTAATGTAAACAAAAAACTAAATTGTAGAGAATAGGCAAAATATGAAACCAAAGTTAGAGGTATCATTCCTTTCAGCTCAAACCATACATACTAATATAAACCATGAATGCACAAGAGTACACAAATTAAGATGCTAGCATTAATGAAGGAACAAAGATAATCACTGTGAACACCATAACTAATACAGGACAGAGGTGTGAAACTCAAATAGGCTGGGGGCCAGATAGAAGCCTTCAGGGGTGAAAAGGGGTCATAATAAAAATCTACTGCCTAATCTTTAAGGCAGTGTTTATTGACTGAGCTGGCTCAGGCCTGACTTCAAGGCTGAGCTGGGAATAATGATCATTATTAATAATGATCACATTACTACTAACATGATACAGTTTCATGCAGCCCATCAAACATATGCATATCTTGCAAGGTAGAGGACACTGCATTGCTTGCCTCGTGGGAAGACTTTGAACAATCTTTTTCACTTCATAAGCACAATACTAGACAGCTCTTCATAAATGTAATATATCATGGTTGTTTAAAATGTCTTATATCATGTCAGGTTAGGAAGTAGATGACATGCAACTTAACTAATTTAAGATGTCTTGTGCTGGAACCTGGATAAATTGAAATCAACTTTTGAAATCACCTATAAGGGATCTTTTCACTACACACAACTAGGGCCTTGAGAGCACCCTCTACTCTATAGATTTTATGGATTTTGTCAAATCCTGCAACTTAATAGTTGGCCCATCAGTCCATAGAAATGGACTGATGGGCCGAATCTGACAAGCAGGACACCAGATTGACACCCCTGATATAGAGCATACCACCAAGGAAATGTCTACCTTCAATGGTAAAATTCAACATTCTCTGAGACCCAGATATATATGCATCTTTATAGCTATTCACCTCATACACATGTAAGTCTCATCTCTTCTGGATTAAATGCTGAATTATATGCAAAACACTATAGCTACACCTTTTTAATAATATACCTACAGTACGCTCATTCCACGATAGTAGAGCCCCATGACTCATGATTCTCCGTCAATGGCGAACGTAGCGGGTTCAATGCACGCTCTATAAACGGGCCCATAGTAATTTGTAATGAAAAAAAGCTAAAAACACATGTGGCGCGGAAATTTCCTCGTTATTACACAGGTAGATAACACTGGAGATAAAATAACACAAAGGACCACTGGGTAAAACCAGTCGATTTACTTATCATAAATCCGGCGGGTCCTTAAAAACAGACTCGTAGGACAAAGAATGCTTAGATACAATCTCTATATCAACTTAATATTTCCACTTGGGGTCTCCTAGGCCTCACGATATCGTGCCAAAGCTACTAGCATCCAACAGTGGCACGGAAACTGAGGTACACCTGCCGAGGGTACCACGCCCCTTTGTGTGTTCAACGATGCACTCGCGGCCGCCATCTTGGCTAGAACCGTTACTGGAACAGTGATGTCGAGTTTTGTTTGTTCATTTCGGCATTCTATAGTGAAAAGAATCGTAAGGTTATTTATTACAGCCTCCTCTCTAGACCCAAATTCGGTTGTGTAACTTTTGCAGCATGAGAAATCTGACAGATTTGAAAATTTACGTAATATGAAATTCGTGGAGAAACTGCCGATTACCAATTTCCAGCGCCGAGCTTGGCAGCACTACACCGAACATGAGTGCTTCCAGATGTAATTCCTCACGTGAATACCGAACCTATCTTTACATTGGATGGTTTTAGTACATCTTGAAATAACAGTAAAAATGTGAAAGATCGCCGAGCTTGGCAGCACTACACCGAACATGAGTGCTTCCAGATGTAATTCCTCACGTGAATACCGAACCTATCTTTACATTGGATGGTTTTAGTACATCTTGAAATAACAGTAAAAATGTGAAAGACTTTAAATGTAGAGTTCGTCTTCCACCCGGTTGAGGAATATTACTTTGGCACGTTGCCTAAGATTCGTATTTGTTAATTGTGGAGGACTGAAAATCTTACGAAGGATATATTCTCCTCTAAGTTTGCCTGCGATCGTAAACGTGTTACTGGATGGGAGGATGGCAGAAGTTGAATTTGGTGAGTTCCTAATAACGACATACTTGCTTTTGACTCGAGTGTGTCAGACTTGATGGGGTTATTCCATGGCTTTCTGTCTCTCCAAATGGATTGGCCACAGGTGAAGAGTGGATGCCGCCTCCAGATGTGATCGTGGACCTCTACGAGAAGTTGGCCACGGGAGAGATCCTGAAACTGAAGTGGCAGTGCATTGGTCGCCGGGCACCTGCCGACAAATTGTCTCAGCTGGAAAACAAGAATCTTCAGTGAGTTGGGAGTCCTGTTTTGATTGTCCTGTCTTGTGGAAGTATTACGAAGTATGTGTCTCTTCCTGTGAGCGTTCATGATGCGCACAGCATCAAGGCATATTGTAAATTAGACTATGCATGCATTGCAGGCTTCTCCTTAGGGACATCATAATGGCATATCTCATGAAAATCATTCAATCTATTTGAATAGTAGTAGGTAAGAATGACATTAAGGCAAGCAATCTGGTGTTTTCCCTCGGCAAAGATCGTCGGACGACGGGATCTTCTTCGACTTCGACGAGACCCCCGAGACCCCCCTGCAGCCGGTGCGAACGCCCGGTTCCGCCCAGCCGCGGGGGAGCGCCCGCAAGAAGACGACCGATCTCAGCAGCATCATCTCCAACATGCAGCGCCATCAGCTGATGGACATGAAGGACTCCCCGATCTCCGTCCGAACGTCCGCTCCGAAGAAGGAGGAGCCGGGGACGCCGTCGGGGGAGGGCCAACTGGATTCCAGCAAGTGAAGCTCTATCCCGGAAATCCTGTAATTTCTCATACTTTTTCTACTTTTAATCCTTCTAGCCTCACCTCTTGATCCTTTGTACAGGAGGAAGAGTTGAATTTGTTTTGGAACAGGGAAAAGAAAATGTTTCCCCTTCCATTGTGTAACATTTCTCTTGAGATGAGGTAGTGACTTAAGTGAGATTGATTTTACAATATTTTTTTTCTTTTTAGTTAATCTATAGCTATGAAGTATGCAGAAACTGACTCATATAATGAAGCAGCTGCTTTTAAATTTGACATATAATGTAACTATTTAAGGTCAACTTGCAAAATGCTCATTTATTCCCTCAAGATACCTGAAATTTCCTCAGTATGCCGTGCTGACAGCCGTATTCAAGAAACACCTTCTTTCCTGATTATTAGTGCCATCTGATTACTAAAGTTATTTAAAGTTTTTTCCTGGATTGGAATTAGAGAATAATGCAGATGGAATGTTGTTACTTTCAAACAATTGAAGTCCCTCATCTATTTCAATTTCTTTTTGTTTTCTTCATATTTCAATGATTGCTCATTCATTTTTTCTTGTAGGATGTTCTTGGTTAAACTTTTTTTCATTTCTTGATGCACTTCATTCCTCACAAGCTTGAGGGGCACATATTCATGAGAATACCCATTAGATTGCTACAGAAAATTTTCTTTTTTTTTTTTGAACAGATGATCATGACTTCAGTGACTTGACTTGCTTTCACTTCTTTAGTTTTCTTAAACCCTTTGAAATGTTATTGGTTCAGGTTGCATCACTTGGATATGTAACATTTTAAATGTATCTTTCACTATTACATTCATGACGGAAATGTTAGAGAACATTTTTGAAAAACACAAACATGGAAGTCATTGATTGAATTAGCAATGATCTCAATGCTTGTCACTTGTGAAATAAGTCTGCAATTTCTTCTGGTGGAAGCTTTACATCCATGATTGATTTCAATTTTTTCTTAAACTCATCTTACAGGCCATTTGGATATGTTCCTGACCTGATGTACCTGCATCTCATCAGTGAATAAGACTATCTGGAAGCAAGACCCAAGAAACACAGGAACCATTGTATTGGAGCGATGCAGCACCTTGAAATGACCACCCTTCCAGTGACCAGTCAGTTCTTGTTGCAACTTAAAGTGTTTATCGAAGCACTTGCCATCGTTCCATGAATGACATATATTTATGAATAAGCATTCTGCTTATAAAAAAAGGTTTTCTACTCTTCAAGAAAGAGGTGTCATTTCATTCCAAAAGTAACACATAAAATAGGCAATGGGAAATACCATCACAGCAAATGGTCTCTACTCAATTTATCCATTGATGATCCAGCAATCGATGTGCTCAATATGACTCTCTGTCATCCGCCAAGTCGGTCTGGTTGAAATACCGACCAATCAGGCAAATGAGAGTGTTGCACGAAGTGAGTCGAGGATCTTGAGGGGAGTCCATCTGAGATCGCATCTTGGCGCAGGCCCGAGCGAGGTTCCGGAGATCGTTCAAGGTCTCGGGACTCACTGGCTTTTGGAGAGCAAGAAGAAGAGCAAAGATCCATAAGAACATCCTGTCGCTGATGCCCTTCTCGGACATCTGCGCCAGCACAGATAGAGACCTGCAGATGCTCTCGGGTGGAATGCATGCAATGATACTTGTCAGGGGTAAATATTGCTCTTCATCTTGGGGATCAGAGTTAAAAATTCTTCCATAAAGGCCTTCCTGAAACGTGGATTCTGCCTCCAATCGGTCATTGATGAGTTTCTTATTCACGAAGGTCTTGGCCCAATGAGGAGCATCTTTCCGCAACCCTGCCACTTGCTGTTCCCACGAGAGTCTCATTTGGGAAAAGGTGCTCACTTTCTCCCGTTGCCATTCCAGACCGGGTACATACTCGGGCGACTTGGCTTTGGGCAGTGTCGGCAGCAACTCCGACATGGCCATGCTCCTGGGGTGTCTGACGGTCCGACGGACTTTCGGGGCAGACGTCTCCGCGACGGAGCGTTCGCTCGGTTTGACTGCTGCAATCTGTCCGAGCTGCTTGGCCTGGAACCGCACTTGTCGGATGTACTCCTTCACCGATGCCGCCGGGGCATTCAGGTCCACGGGGCACTGCTCGTCCTCTTCGTCCAGGTCCACGTACAGGGCCCGGGACTGCTTGTCGTCCATGTCCGAGTCCTCGTCGGACTCCGGGTCGTCGTACGACAGCGTTCCTTCTGCCTTGGTGGCCATTGCGAAATAAGAGCTTCCGATAAGGCACGCTACAACCTACAAAGACAGGAATCAATGCAATCATCAAAAAAAAATTCCATCATCTGCACTTCTTGCTACAATTTCTCAATGCAAAGTCCATTAATAGAGGATGAATACACTGACACCATGGATGCAAGAGGTGGAGTAAAAATTATATATTTGAACCTAATGCATCCTGCAAATAATGAGGAAGGTCATATGGATACAAGCATTTGGATCACTGAATAGGAAGGCTATTTTTCACAAATACAAATAATAGGCATTAAAGAATGAGTTGTTCCAGGTCCTTGATTCAGAGAGAAACTGCCCCAGTGTGCGAGTCAAGAACAGCCAACTGGACACATGCTTCATATATACTTCATGAAATGAGTAATTGGTAAGGGCTCACACATATATATACCCTACCATGGGAACGAAAAAAGCCTACAAGTAAAATTGCTTTATTAGTTACAGTGTGGCAAACCCAAGCTAAATATTCTGTCTGAGAAGTCTTCTTCAATGGCATATTGACAGACTGGGACGATCTCCCCTCCCTAATGAATTCCAGTTCTAAGATGAAAGCCTAAATAATGCATCTCCAACATACACCTTAAGAAACTATCACCATTCCCTCACATTCACTCCAATCCTGGTACTAATGTCAAACTATGCCACATCACTTGCTTTTGAAATTTGGACGAGTTGAAAGAGGCACTGAAATCACTTCTCGGGTGTAAAGAAGAATGCCCGATAGAAGTATACCGATGTAAAATTCAAAGAACATTCTGGTACAGCATATAGAGGGAAAATAAGACAAGATGTCATTCAAGAGATGGTCTTGTTCATGCCAAAGCCTCTTCAGAGCCCGATCGCAACAACGCAAAACAGTACACCTAAGCCTACTTGTAGCCAATACGAGCCTACTTGTGGAATGACCAGACCCAAATTAAACTAATGAACCAGTGACAAATATTTCTGGCACTTCACCACTGCAGAACTCGACCATTCGCGTTGATCGAAAAAAAAAAATGGACGGCGGGAACTACCAAGGAATGGGTCTCTCGGTATCAGGCCTACCCGAGGAAACCCTTCTCGCGATACAATCAGTGGAGACAGCCCGATTGTTCCACTGCACTCACACAGCACAACCAGCATATCCTCAACGCCGCACGTGATCGACGCCATACCCCCCTGACGTCACGCGCATCGTCTGCTACCATCTAGCATCCTTCTCTGGGTTCGTTCAGTGACGACGCTCCTGCAAACGCCCTCTTCCCCCTCCAGCTCCCCCTCCACCTCGTGCTCCCCCTCTTCCCCCTCTAACTCCCCTCCCCCTTCCGCTCCCCCTATATGGGCAGCTCACCCCACTCAATTTAATTATTTCCTGTGAGGGCGTCTCGTTACCTTCCTTTGTTACATAGCCACATTTAATGTTGTTATGCGCATCGAACCTCTCCTTATCGCCATTCATGCAAGAGGCAATCATAATTTGGAAACCAACCTCACCCCACTAACTCTCCCCACAACAGAAACAGCCACCCGAAATTCGAGGATCGCTCAGCATCAACAGCCGCATCTCCCTCGTTCACCAGCCAAGGTGCCTCCGATCCGGGAGAGAGCTCACGGAGCCGCACCGCTACTTACCCTGAATTTAACTAAATTAAACATAGAAACTGATAACGTTAGGTATTGTTGGTACTGGGGAAGCTGGAGGGGTTTCACCTCAAGGGAAGGAAAGGACATGGGAAGGGGCTGAAAAACGCTAACACGTGAATTCATAGTTCAACATCCGACATAACCGATGAAATGGCGCCAAACGGAATCGGCCATGCAAGATGAGGTGTCCGTGTTTAGTGATTCCTATAATGAGACTAGGCGAGACGTAGGCAAGGTACTAAACAATCCTGGGAGTGACGATTCTAGGGAAAGAGAGAAGGGAACTTTTGTGTACCGTGCGAAAAGCGAGACCCTCACCTCCATCTAGTGGCCTGGCAAAGAACTTCATGATGTTCACTTCAATACGAGCGATGAGGGAGAATTTGGTGAGTAATAAGAGAGTAAATTCGAAAAGCTCATACTGTGCTCACTTTTTACTTTCCAAACGCTCGGAATTTTCTAAGAGTCTATGGGCGAAGACTGGTGAAGATCCCCGTGGTCACGAACGATCCAGCTCCTCCCACTTTTCCCTACAGCTCAGTATAAAATCGTTGAACGAGACCGGCTGTCGACCGAGGGACTGAAAGAACGCTGGCATCAATGTCTACGACAAGGAAATCGCGGTCAACGTTCTTCCGACCGGAGAATCTGCCTTCTCATAACACGATCAACACGGACATCACATCGACCCAGTTGAAGGAACTCTGGTTCCATGAATTGAAGGTACATCGACAATTTCCACACCTGAAATGATCTATCTATCATTTATCTATCATTTACTATCGAGGACATTAAGAAAACAGGGACCCAGTCTGCGAGCACCTGAGGAAACATGCGAAGAATGCAGCCGACGCTTCCTTGAGGGTTTGCTTTGTTTTTTTTTTTTTTCTTCCTGAAAGTTTAATCACAATTGCGTAGGTTCATGGCAATCGCTGCCTATCTTGGAGTGGGGACCTTTCCACACCGGAATGCCAGAAAAACAATTTATCTCTTATTTACTGATTTATTACCGATAGTGATAATGTTATCACCGATCGTTCTTCCCACCGCTTGAGTGCTTTACAGGACGAGCGTCTCTCGTATGGCTTCAACCTCATTCCCATTTTCTATTCTGTGGTCTTCATCTTTTCATCCCCAGTGTCTCACGTGTTTTTTTTTAGCCAGCCTTCCAAAAATATTCAGCCTGTTTCCGTTCAGCTTGAATCCCGGAGAAGGGATTTCAGCATCATCCCTCATTAGGCAAAAAATCGTCTCTGCTTCCAATGGCATTCCGTAGGGAGAGGTCAGGACGAAATCCTTCTTACAATTGGAGACTAATTGTTAATTTTAATCCATCCGCGCGCCCTCTCGATTCTCGTTACTGGCGGATGTCCCGTAAGGGTTTGCCTCCTCATCTGTAGCGAAGTCTCCCTCGGGCGATTCCAATGCCCGGAGAAGCAACGTTACCAGTTGGGTGGGTCTGAAATCAGGAACGTCTACGCGGTTAGCCAAGAAAGAAGTTACTATCGTTTTCCAGATTTTCATGTTGGAATGAAAGGGGAGGTACAACGAAAGTGGGTTGATTTCGTGGGGCATTTTAATCGGTCTTTTTTTTGTTGTTTGCCAGATGACCCCCGAAAATCAGTTGCATGTTGAATTCATGCTCATGATTCGTGTATTTTTTTAACGCATAAATTTCATGAAGGAAATTGTGCATCTTTGGACGCTACAGATGATGCATGAAGTGCCACGTGGCTCTTCCGAAAACATCGGATACTGCGGAGGCGACTGAAAGTGCATCCCGTTACATCAATGTTTCCGCCTGAAATTGTCAACGAGCATGACGACCTTCGTGAAAGCTTGTGGATATTTGCTCATACTCGTGACCGTGTTCATCCTTGCGGCCAATGTCGCCGAATATCCATATTTCTTGGATCCACAAAGCGAAACCGTCCCGGCCCAAAACCCGCACGAAATGCAAACGGAACCTTCACTTTATCCCTCCTCCAAGGCCCCAAACCTCACCACGACACGGAAACCAGAAAGTGAGTTAGTATGCAATCACTTCTGGCCGAAATTCCCCCTGACGGCGGAGCAGTGCCGAAACGTGACCTTCGTGACGACCGCGAGCAACGGAAGACTGGGGAATCGGATCGGCGAGTACATTACTCTCTTCTCCTACGGGCGACGATACGGGAAGATCCCCGTGGTCATCGGCGACCTCCTGGAGGAACTCCGCCCGCTCTTCC